CGCACTGGAATCCTCGGGAGGGGCCGCCCCTCACCTTCTGCAAGTGCCGTGTGAGGTGCTGTCTGATAAAGGCCTGGATGTCTGTGTTCTGGGCCCATTGCCACCAGGTGCCGTGGCCGATCTCTTGGGCCTTGTGACTATGAAGCCCCTTTGAACATAAACATGCGAAGGAAGTTTCTGGTGAACTTCCTACTCTTTCTACTGACTCATGGATCTCAGTCTTGTCTCCTGTGAGGGCTGTAAGCCTTGCGGGCAGGGGTCACTCCTCTCTGAGCTGAGCTCTTAGCACAGGGCTGGCCATGGGGTTGATGCAGATTGATACTCAGGTGATTAGGAAGGTATGATTTTATCCTCTTTTCTGTGTGTCTAATGGACAGGTGGTATCTGTGCCAGTGATCCACGCACTATCATTGAGTATCTTGGGTACCTCTTTCTCCCAAACCAATTTTTTTTCTGATCTTGACCCCTGAATATGTTGGTACAGTTGTTTTCATCACCATGGGAGGAAACAGACAGATCTGGTAATTTCTGAAATTCCCAAATGGAAACCAGTTTCTTTCTAGGGCAGGTTGTGGAGTTTTGGGGGCACTATTCCACAACTCGAGGGGTGCAGTTCAGTTTCTTGTGCATGAAAATCACTCCTTTGGGTTGCATAGCTCAGGGCTGTGAGCATTGGAACTGATTTTGGTCTTTTACTCTTCAGTCTGCGTGGCTGCCCCCGCGGTCCTCCTGAAGGCATGGCAGCGTAAGTGAGATGTCCCTTCGTAGTTTCCAGGCTTTGTGATGCTAGAATAGTCCGTTCACAAATTCCTTGTAAGATGCTGCCAGTTTCCCACTGGACCCCAAATCATTATACTGATTGAAGTATAAAGTCAAGTACTTTAAGATGCCTGCCACTTTGATCGGAATTGAGGAGAAGGAGGTATTTTTACCCTGACACTAGGAGAGAGGAATTGGTTCTAAAGAGTCTGTGAAGGTCCCCCCGAACCTTATTAGCAGAGAGCAGTAGAGGTGAGATGCCAACTGACTCACCAGGGTAGCCCAGCCCCGTCTTAGCCCCACCGGCTGGGCTTGACTGACAAGTAGGGAGCAATATGAAGTCCGTAGTAATGGGCTTTGAAAAATCCACCTGCCTTAAAATCTTTTCCAGTGGCCAGTCCCGAGCACTTGAGGTACACGTTGTTTTTCTTTTGTGTCAAGCAATGCTTCCTGTAAAAAATTAAGGATAGGCTCAAAAACAATTCATTAGTGTTTAGAATCAGAATAACGGTGACCCTTGGGGGATGTCATAGACTGAGAGGGGAAGGTCAGACTCTGCATTTAGGGGTGTTCTTGTTCTCCATCTAGGGGTTCCCTCTGTGGAAGATTTATTGGACCTCACGGTTCTGTTTGGGACATCTTTCTATATGTTTACAATGCTTCAAAAGAAAGTTTATTTAAAGCAACTCTTCCAAGACTGCCTTGGGAAGTATAAATTCACAGATATTTATACCTTTGTTAAAACAATGAGGTGAGCTTATTTCCAAAGGAGAGTTAGCAGTGTGCAGGAGACAGACATGACGAACAGGAAGAAAGAGCAAATTTGTCTTCTTTGAGCTTCTGTCTGGGGCTCATTGTGCCTTGGTGTTTTGGAGAACAGAGTACAAGTCCCCAGTGAAGTGGATACTTTTTCCTCAAGTCCATTTCCATTGTCCTTCAAAGATATGGGAGAGGTGAGCCGGTGCAGAGAAGACTAGAATGAAGGACGCCATCTTTGGCTCAAATCTAGAACTGGTAATAGAAGGTGACCCTCTTGGGCAGTTAGCCTTGGGGAAGGCTTGGAGCCAGCCCTTCCTTTGCAAAGTAAATGTACATGATTTCTTCCAATGGGACCTGGCTCTGGTTAAATGAGAGACACCAGTAAACCCTGGCCACCTGGGTACCAGGTGGACATAGCTCTGTGTTCATATGTTGGGAGAGAGAGGGGAGGCGCAGAGCATGCAGCTAGAAAATATTCCCACCTCAGTCTTCCCAGTGGACATCTCCTCATCCCCTGTCCTGCCCTGTCCCTTCTCCGTGACACACACATGGGGTCTGGGGCCAGCAGCCCTGCTTGCACATGAACCAGTGTCCTGCTTCCCCGCCAGCCATTGAGCCACCCAGCTCGCCTAGGTCTCCATCTAGCTTCGGAGAAACATTCAGGCAGAGGTGACTTCCTGGCGCACGCTGCCCAGGCCGGCCCGTGGAGGAATGCAAGGGATGTCAGCCTCGAGGAAAACGCTTGTTTGGCTTTCAGGCATTCTCATTCATGCTGGCCCATAAAATGGCTGTGTTCTCAGCTGGAGTCCCACCTGCTTCTCCTGCATCCCCTGTGTCCAGAATTTGAGTCTGAAGAAATACGTATCAATCCTTCTCACTGGCAATGTTTTTTTCTTTGCAGACATCGATGTTAGGTTGATAGCAGTGTCACAAAGAGACCCCAAACCAGCCATCCCTGAGGGGCTATTGCCTTCTCCCTTATTTCTGTGTAACAAATGAGCTTCAGTAGCAACAGGCAGGCTTTCTCCACGTGTCCCTGGTCTTTGTCTCAGAGTGGAATTGAGCCAAGGCTCAGCACGGCATGAGTCACCATCCTGCTATTTTATTGCAGTCTGGACCACGTCGGTTCTTCCTGTCCCAGAGGTTTGTCCTCGGAGGATGATACTGAGAAAGATGCCTCTCTAGAAATGTCAGCGAGTTTGAAGTCAGATATAACTACTGTTAGAGTCGGTAGTTAACACGCCACTGCCCTTCATTTGCAAAGCAGTTGGCACAGACTTTGGCTCATTTGATTCTCCTAACAGCTCAATGAGGTAGTAAGCATCACCCCCATTTTACAGGCTGGGCCTCCAATTCACGGTCACAGAGCTGCTGTGACGACTCCCAGCAGAGTGTTCCTTTTTTCCCCCCATTCTTCTTGTTGTTAAAGATATTGTAAAGTTAGTAATAAAAACGGGAAGTCAACTGTGGAGATTTATGTTAAGATCCGGTTGTATTACTGGTGCAATGATGCAAACATTTTGGAAAGCCTCCCAGTGCAGAGTTGTCCAGTGGAGGGCAGCCTCCTTTCAGGGGCCCTTCTTGTCTCCTGACGGGGCGGGGGGGGCGGGGGGGGGACTGCTTAGCTGGTCTTCAGACTCCTCCGCAGAGCGGAGCAGCCCTGGCCTGCTGAGGTGCTGGGTGGGTGGAGAGAGGAGGGCCTTGAACTTTGGAGGCCTTTCAGAGTGTCCCAGATCCCCAATGTTTCCAGGTTTAATTTTGCAAAGTTGAAATTTATTGGACTGCAATATCGACTCTGGAGACCCTCATACAATGAAATAGTAGAACACCTGCGATCTGGAATGAGCCTGTGATAGATGAGACTCTGAGCCAGGCCTTTTCCTAAGAGTTTTGCATGTATTCATGCACTTAATCTTCGCAGCAACCCTTCATGAATCTCCATTTATCAGTTGACAAAGCTGAAACCTTGCAAGTCATCTGCTCCAGGTCCCAGAGTTAATAAATAAATGGAGGAGTTAGTATTTGAACTCATTTAAATTCAGGAGTCTGAGTTTCTGATCACTTCAATACGATGCCTTCAGCAGGATGTCTAGGGCAAGCACTATTTACTCATTGATACAGAATTCAGATCCCCAGAGTTAAGTCCATCCTAGGTGGCCATTAGCCAAGTAGTTTCCTAAGCATCTCACATGGGCACTAAGAAATTTTTCTAAAGAGAAGAGAGAGCTGTAGGATTTAACACCCCCAGACCTGGCCTCCAAAAAGAGCTACTCACTGACCAGCACTCTCCTGTGTGTTGCAAATGCCCACATCTGTGAAATGGGAGGTGCCGCTTCTCCCTCGTCCACAGTGGAGACTGACAGAGGCCTTTCCACTGTGGCTGCTGGAACCCAGTGTCAGATCGGGGACCTGGTGTTACCGTTCTTTGTTCTCCTGAAAGCAGAGTGGAATTAAACACTTCAAGTCAAACAGCTGTGTGTGGGTAGCGAGGGGAGTCCCCCCAAAAATGCAGAACTTGTTTATAAAAATTTATTCTTACATGTTTGAACTTAAGTCACCTTCAAAGTGCTCTCCACTTGATGCAATATACCTATTGTGACATTTTCCCACTGCTCAAAACAGTTTTTCAACTCATTGATTTTGGTGTCTTTTAGTGCTTCTGTCGCTTTTTGTTTCGCCTTTTCTACACCAGCAAAGGTTTCCCTTTGAGAACTTTTTAAATCTGGGGAAACAAAAAATGTGGCAGAATTCTTTTTTTGATCTCTGGGGATGAGATCAGGTGAATAGGGAGGGTGGGGCATGGGGTCATGCCATTTTTGGTCAGAAACTGCTGAACACTCAGTGGAGGGTGGGCAGGCGTGATCATAAATCACTCGTCATGAAATGGTCAGACACGTTGAAAGAGTCTGAAAAAAATTCACTGAAGCTGAACACAGCCTCTCACAACAATGCCAGCTAATACACTGATGCAGATGGGTTCCTAGAACACTCACCTAGTGGGGAAAGCCTGTACTATAAGGGGCCTGCTGTCCAGAAGATAATTGCATTTTTTTACCCCCTCATCCCTTGTACAGGTAAATAAATGTTCCGCAAAGCTGTCAGTGGAATGTGGAATACAGGTATCAACTCTCTACTAGGACAGCCCTTAATTTACAATTTATGGCTACCCAACTATGGGTTTTTGTGGGGGGAGGGAGATCCATGAACCTGAAAAACTCTATGCTGCAATTCGGATAGATGTGTCTATGTGCACTTTTTTCATTAGAGTCTCAAAGGGATCCATGACCCATGACCCATTTAATAACTGAAGACTTTTCATTAAATTGCTTATGTGTAGCTCTTTTGTGAGGTCAAATGGCAGCTAGGAAAACATTAGTCTTGGGAGTTTCAGGGATCATCAAGATGTATATATTTTTCACTTGCTAATTCTCTTTGCGTATAGAGTTGATTCAAATAAACCTTTCTATTGCATGTATTTACAGACTGGACTTTTTCATCTGCCGCATGGAGACTTTTTTATCGAGCCTGTCAAAGACCATCCCTGGAGTGAGGGAGAGTACCACCCACACGTCATTTACAAGAGGCAGAGGGAGGAGCCAGCCTGCGGATTAAAAGGTACTGCCCCTTAGAACTCCTCCCCCGGTGGAGGAGTTTGTTCTGTTCTGTTGTTGTTCTGTACCAACATGACCTTTTCTTATTTAATCTGTTATCTCCTCCCCAATCTATTGCCAACACCTACACAGGTAGGCTTGTATAAGTCCCTTCAGTTCTCTGTAAGTCTCTACTCTTACTGGAAGGGGAAAAGGCCATCGCAGCGTCCTTGCCGCTTCCACTTCTGCAGCACCTCCTCTGATCAGACACATCTTGGGCCAGTCTTTGCAGTGTGAATTTTACTCACACGCATCTTGTACAACAGCGATTTGCAATCACTGTGCCGCAGCACACTGGCGTGCCACAAGAATTCTTAAAACATGCAACACCTGGCTATTTAGTCAGGGGCGCTGACCTCTTTTCCTTAGATTGTTAAATAAAAAAATGATAACGGCCAGCACAGCAATAGCCATCCAGTGCGAACAGATCAAAGTTATACCTACTGTTTTAAAGATGGGCAAAAAGTAGATATATTTTAGTATCTTAGCATATCTTTATCTCAGTATCTCAGATATCTTTAGTATCTTTGGTAAATAGATATATTTAGCAGAATCTTCGTAATTACATTATATGTGCCGTAAGATGAAAAGGGGGAAAATCTCTCCTCTATAAGAGACTCTCTTATCCTTGCTTAAACCTGTAGAACGTCCTAACTGGACGGCTCTGCCAGAAGGGCCTCTGAGAGTGTGTAGCCTCCTTCTGCACCAAAGAAGCAACTGTGGCTCAGAGAAGGGAGTGAATTTTTCAAAAGCTTCAAGGTAGCTGGTGTTCAGAAGTCAAGGTTCTGTTATACCTCGGGCCCTGTATCCCTTCGTGTTTATAAGAACCCCCTCCCCGAACAGTATGCCACAGAGCGGCGGGCGCAGAGTAGGAATTCAGTAAATCACTGAAATGGGACGAGGAGTGATTCGTAGCCCAGCCTCTAGTTACACAGCCTCCAGTATGTGCAGCATCAATGTATGTGCAGCATCAATAGATAGAAGAGGAAATATGCGTTGCTAAGTGTTGAGGAAGCATCAACTCTGCTTTCACAGTCTTTCAACTGGTCATCAGTTGTTTGTGACCATCTCTCTCCCTAAAACGGTAAGTGTGACTCAATGCTTAAATGACAGCAGGAGATTCCAGAATAATATCAAGTGCTTGTGAATACTCTGAAGGTAGACATGGCATTTGGAATTGTAGAAACCCAGTAAATTGAAATGAACTTGATCTGGCTGAACGAGGTGATTGCAGTATGTTTACACTGTGTTCTCCTGCAGTGATAATGGCTTTGACCCACGGTAGTCCTGTCACGAGCCAACATTGACGTGCACTTTGTACGTAGGTTGGTTGGTGCTGTAAGATTAAATCACTGTGATTGTGTCGAGAAAGATCCCCCTTGTGTGAAGTGTTCTGTCTCTGTAATGTTCAAAGCGAGAACACCCTTGGTGTTGGAAACATGTATTTTAAAAGTATTCTAGTACTTCAGAAGACAAAATGTATCAATTACTTTCCTCTAAAATATGTCTCTCAGTTACATTTATTTTCCACATAGAAAGGTTCCCAGGAATTCCGCTGTAAGTCCTTTCCAGTGTAGCCTGGTGTAATTAAGTGCTTTTTTCCTCCAGGGCTTTTGTTACTGACTTGATCAGTTTGAACTAAAATTCCTTAACCCATGTGCTAGTTTTCTGAGCCTCACGTTTGTCAAATGTTCCCACAGATCTTGTTTTCCCCAGCCTTCTGGACTCTGTGTTAAGTGATGGGAAGATACAGCTTGTCTGAATTAAATCTAGGGCAAATTTCAAAACTTCATTTAATGGACAACAGTGAAGTGTTCTCTCCTAGGTTTTTAAAAAAAATATTTTATTTATTTATTGTTAGAAAGAGAGGAAGGGAGGGAGAGAGGGAGAGAAGCATCAGTGTGCGGTTGCCTCTCACGTGGTCCCCACTGGGGACCTGGCCTGCGACCCAGGCATGTGCCCTGACCGGATAGGTTGGGTGACAGTAGCCACAGGGTCAGCTGAGGCAGAAAGGGGTCCAGGCAGGTGAGGTTGGAGTTTGGGGATTCACGCTTCAGGACTCTAGGCTAGAATCATAGGCTCAGGTTCCTGGCATGCGTTTCTGTATTGGAAATTTATTCATTCGTTCGGCAAAGAGCTCTTGGATCTCTTCTGTATGCCTGGTGCTCTCCACTGTTCTGTGGGTACAGTTGCAAATGGGGTATAGTTCTCAGTATGAAGTGCCGGTGGCCTGGATACAGGACACAGGTGTGTAGGGATCCAGCCCTGGCTTTATCTTTATAACACACGGTAAAGACGATGAAGGGTATGGAATCTTAGTGCATGTGTGGGATTTTTTTTTTGTTTTTCATTACTCTACATTATGTTTGTGCCAGGATGTGCAGCTGTAATTTGTTTGTTTTCTTTGCTGTAGTACTCCATTATGTGACTCTTTGTCTTTATCCAGTGTCCTGTGAATGGGTTGGAATTGCAGTTTGGGGCCATTGCACGTTTGTTATGTTGCAGGGACCATTCTTGCCCATGTTTGTTAGAGCACAGGTTCACTGGGTGTTCAAGGGTGTATGCATAGCAGTGGAATGAAATCAGTATTGCATAGGATATATACATCTGCGACTTTAGCAGGTGATGCAAAATTGATCTCTGAAGCTGACGTTCCAAGGCACTGAATGAGAGTTTCCACTGCTCCATATTCTCTCCCGCACTTGGTATTCTCACTTTAAATGTTGTCAGTCTGGTGGATATGAAATGGTATTCTCTATGCTTAATGTTGAAGCTACATTCAGTTGCGAAGTTGGGCCTCAAATCTGGCTTGTGGGTGCAGATTCTCCATGAAGTTTTCTCCCCTGTGCCCAGAGTTGAAGCCCAGAGAGCCAAGTTTAGGTTTGCTTACTTGTTTCTTTGTTTTCTGCTTCACTTTTCCACTTCATGCTGAGTCTGACTGTTCAGCCTGTGGGTCTTAACAGTTCCCTGTTTTCTCCAGAGCAATAGAGGGAGCAGCAGATGCCCCAGACCAGCAGCTAGCTTCAGAGCCAGGAAGAATTTATACGAAGAGATTTCATGCAGGGCACTGGATGGCAGGACGGTGGGGGCTGGCCAGGCAAACCCGAAGCCCAGGGGCAGCCCCCGGGCAGAGTGTCCTCCTCCGGGTGCCTCGGCTCTGCTCTTGGAGACCCTCTGAATCGGGCCTGCCTGATTATCGAGAAAGATCTTCAGCTGCAGTCAGCCCATTACAGGCTTTAATTACACCTACAAACGTCTTCACCCCAACGCCCAGATTGGCGTTTGATTGAATAACTGGAATGGCAGCCTCGCCAAGTTGATACATAAAAAAGGTCATCGTCACACTGCATCTTTTGCTTTTCTCTCCGAATTCTGAATTTCGTTTTCTAGTCTTGGACTCTGAACAGTCCCTTACATTGGAAGAAATCAAAGTCTTGAGTGAGTTTCTTATGAAAGTCATTTTGGAAGTTTTTGAGTTGCCTTTTAAATGGCATGCACAGACATTATTAAATGTTAATGTTTAATATTTAGTGCTGATATCTGTTAATTAATATCTAATAATTATTTAAATAATTTAACATTTAATTTTCTTAAATTTCAATAAATGGTAATTATAATAATAAAAGCTCATTTGAATTAATTAGCATATCAGATCACTGATCTAGTGTGGGGGGATTGTTTACAGTTTTGTTCTGATTTCATGGAAATCCAGGTAGTTGGAGATTGGAAATGACCACCGTATACCATGTTGAGTCTAAAATGCACTTTAGTTTTCCTTAGTTTACAGCAAACTTCCTTGGTCCAATCTACCTGAGGCTTGTCTTGAATTCCTTGATTGCCTAATTGCCTTATGATTATAGTCACTCCACATGATCCACAATTTGCTTTGCTGTAAGGTAATTAACAGTTTAATTGGGGTTCTGTGTGTACCTTTTATTGGGGTGGTTGGTGTATGGCCTCCGATTACCTGCCTTCAGAACTGGTGGGAGGACAGGTAAAGGGCTTCAAGGTTTGACCACTAAAAGAGATGAGAAGACTGTTAGAATTTGGGAAAATGTTTAATGCGCGAATGTATGGGGACATAAAATGGTAATGTTTGCTTAGTACAGTGATTTCCCACTGGCAAGTCACGAGAATGTTTGAAACATGCCAAACCTGCCTTATCAGTCAGGGGCCCCAATCTCTTTTCCCTTAGATTGTCAAAAAAAACAACAACAGCCAACACAGCAGTAGCCCTCCGGTGTGAACGCTCTGTCTCAAACCATAAACATGCAAGTCTCATAGAGTTTCATCTTATTGGTCATGTTACATAATAATGTTGCATCTCATTGGTTAATTTTTGATACTAGTAATCCTTATATACAAGTATAGGCACCTGATTTTTTTTTAAGTTACTCTGGAGGGAAAAAGTAGGTAATTACTATTATATTTTTGTTTTGGTAATGGAATTTTGGTAAAAAATATATTTTTGGTGTGCCACAGACTTTTTGTAATTAGTCTACATGTGCCATGAAATGAAAAAAGGTTGAAAATTCCTGGCTTTGTAAAATCCAAGACCAAAACTACAGGAACCCAGAGCACCAGACGCCTCGGCACAGTTGCTCACTAGCTGTGAGACACCCACTCATCCAGTCGAGAGCCTTCATTCACGCGCCAGACCTCCCATGGTAATCTCCCCTGTGCATTCCCTCAGCGCTTGACAGTCGTCGCCTTTGCGCCTTCATCATTTCAGACCCGTAGGTTTCCATCCCCAAATGGGAAGCAGCTGCCCTGGGAGGCACTGGACTCGCTCCAGTTACCTCCCCAAGGATGCTCGGTGCTGAGCACTGCGGTCCAAGGTAACGTTTGGAAGGGCAGAGAACAATGGGGCATGCGTGCTAGGTGCTAAGGGGACTTGGGTCCATCTGTGCAGAGGATCAGTTTCAAGTAAAAGGTGGTTCTCTTGCCAGACAGAAAATCCTAATT